GCAATGGGAGAGGCCACAACAGCGAGAGGCCCGCGTACCGCAAAAAAAAAAAAAACAAATCCATTCCAGTAAGTATTTGTTACTTATCCTGCTGTTGTAATCTGTGCAATAACCATCTGACTAAACACAGTGTTGAGAAAGTTTTTAGAGTCAATTTATGATTAACTCTTCCAGAAGTAGCTGGATCCACGTTTACATTTTTAATTTAAATAGTGACCCTCCTACAGAAATAAAAATAAAATTGTCTTTTTCTTCCATAAATAATCAAACTTAATATGCACTCATATCACACTCAAGCGGGTAAAGCCTAGACAACTAATAGACTAAAATTTCCCCTGTGGTATGAGGCGCACAAAATATTGTTTATTATCACAATTGTTAACAGAAAATATTTTCCATAGCATCATGCTATAAATAATATCTCCCTTCCAATGGGCAGTTTGAAAAAAGAACAAACAAAATTATGATTCCCAAAGGATTAACAAATTAAATCTTGGCGTGTTTGATAGGAATACTTTTTGCCCCTCAAAGAAAAATGTGTTCTATAAACTTTCAAGATGTATTTTAGTTACTGAGAAAATGCATGATGAACAATTGCAATCTCAGAATAATGCACAATAATTCTGATTAACAGGAGTTACCAAAAGGAAGTGAAATTGGTGGGAGATAGGAGCAGTCATTCATTTTTCTTTATATATTTGTACAATATTTAAAAGTTTGCCGCAGTGAATGTGCATCACTTTGGTAATTTTATTTTACACTTAAACCTGGAGGGGGGAACACAGCTGCAGCCTCTGAGAAGTTTAATGCTCAAACAACAAAACCGCATCTTCCCTGACAACATGCTATCATGAATTCACAAATACAACACAATATGTCAAACAGTTATAAAATGTAAATGTTGACTTCAGTTGGAATAAGTGAGTCACAATATCTATATTAAGCCTTGCACAGGTTGAAAGTAAACACCACGTGGCCTTCAGAAGACCTTCTAAAATTCCACAATATTATTTTTAAGTTTTGCATTAGGCAATTGTTTCTTAATCAGAACTACATACACCCATGTGAGGTTTGACATGCTCTCTGTACAGTTATGAGACAACCCTACTTTGAAAGCAAATTACAGAAAGCACAAAACAAGGTGTAACATCACAACTTGATGCGAGGAACTAGCAGATGAACAATTCAACCAAGTGCACAGTTAGGTGTGTATGATTTTCCAGGTTTTGACAACATAAAAAGATGTGCCCTGATGAGCTGGGCCCACTGGACAGTTGAGTAAACAAGCAAGTTGTATAAACCAATTACACCAAAGAACTGAGCACTAGTGAGGTATGACATCTATGGAATAGCTGTGCAATCATAGCTTTTATCTGATGTGGGATAATTTTTGATGGATAGTAATGATGAGAGAACTCAGGCTTTCTCTGAATTCAGCTGCTAAGATTGAACTCAGTGGTTATATTTTAAACCCACATTAACACTCTAGACTATATAGACAGTACTTGCTAACTTTACTTGCTATATGAAAGAAATATAAATGAAGTAGCTCAGGTCCTCTTGTAAAAATGGCAAAACGTGAAACTTAAAAAATGTACTGTGCATTATGCAAATTAGCATTTCAAACTCCCCAAACTCAAACTATCCCACCTATCTAACAATGTCAAAAACCAGCATGACCATTGGATATGTCCACGGCTTAGTCAGATCTATAAGGATCTCAGCAGAACATTGAAGATATCTGAGTTTGGATCAAATCCCTCGATACAAGCATGCTCACGAGTTGTATACCTATGTAGCAAGTAATAGAAGCCTCATACAAGTGCATTAAGAATCACAAACATAGTAATGGAATCTGATAGATATAGAAAGATTCAGGGAGTTTCACTTCTAAAAATGACAGACTAGATAATTCAGACCAATCCTTCCACTGAAAATAACTTAAATAGCAAGAAATAATACTTTAAATATCTGTTTTAAGGCATTGGAAAGCTAAAGAGATAAAGACATATGAGACCAAGATGCAAGAGAAAAAAGAAACCCTATCCTTTCTCTCTCAAATATCAGCCCATTTCAGAAAAGGCAGCAGAGACACTGAGAAGCTTAATAATTTTTCAACAGATGCATAGGGTTAAAGAGGAAAAACAAGTTGAGAGCCCTTCCCAGGAAGGAGGTGCCTGGTTAAACTTCTCCATCCCCACAACCCAGCCTGTGGGCTGGAATCCTGAAGGACTATACAGTAGCAGGAAGGATGAATCAAAAATAGTTGAAACCTGGCACTAAAGTTTAACACTGAAATATCTCAACAATAAATGATAAGGTAATTCATGAGTGCTATGGCCCCTAATCTAATCTGTAACCAAAAGGAAACATGTCCTTTCATACATAGTAATTATCAAGTTATCTATGCAAGTTTACTTTGAAGAGAATGAAATAGTTTCTGTCATCAAAAATAACTAGACAATCAAAAGTAAACAGAAGGCAAAAACAATGCAATCAAAATCCCAGGAAAATAAGATGTAATAGAAACAGACCTATAGAAGATCCAGATGATGGAGTTATGAGACACAGATACACAGATTGAGGATTAGAACTACAAAGTAAAAAGAAAAGAAATAAAAATTCTAGAAATGAAATTGTAATAAGTGAAAATAAAAATCAGTGGGTGGTTTTAATAGATTTGATTCAGCTGAAGAAAGGGACTAAATGAAAGGTCAGAAGAAAACATTCCAAATGAAAAATGGAGAAACAAATTTTAAAAATCATAAAAATGGGGCTTCCCTGGTGGTGCAGTGGTTGAGAGTCTGCCTGCCAACGCAGGGGACATGGGAAAAGATGGAAAATGAACTAAATTAAATTTTAACAAAAGGTTCCATTAAGAGAGTTTTAAAAATAAGAAGCAGCAGCTGTAGAATAGGAGACAATATTTGCAATACGGATAACTGACAAAGTGCTTGTATACTAAATATATAAAAACCTCCCACAAATCAATAACAAAAAGACAATCAAGCCAGTAAAAAAGTGGGCAAAAGAAGCAAACTGGCATTTCAAAAAAGAAACTAGCCAATAGCCGACAAACATACGAAAAGATGCTCATCATTGAGCTCATCATTGAGCATCATGAGTAATCATGAAAATGCCAATAAAACCATGCTGAGATACTGTAAGCACCTAACATAATGGCTACTAATGAAAGACTAATGATACCAAGTCTTTGAAAAGCAACACAATTTCTCATATGCTGCTAAAGAGTGTAAATTAGTGAAGCCACTTTGAACACCTGTTTATCAGTATCTACTAAATTGGAAGGCACCTAACAATTGCACTCCATGTTATATACCAACAGAAATGCAAACACGTGCACTAAAACAATAAGATTGGTAGCAGTAGATTATGCGTAATAGCCCACAATTTGAAATAATTCAAATACCTATCATAAAATGTTAAAATATATTGCAGTATATCCATACGATGCAACACTAAGGAGCAATAAAAAATGAACAAACTGCAAGTACATGACACGTCACCCAGAAATATCACAATTATGATCAGCAAAAGAAGTCAGACACAAAAGATGCCCTACATGGTTCCATTTATATAAAAAGTTCAAAACAGGTGAAATTAATCTATAGGTTTAAAAGTCAAAATAGTGGTCAGAAAAGGAGAAATTAGTGATTGGAAGGGGGAATAAGGAGGCTTCTTGTGCACTGGCAATGTTCTATTTCTAGATCTGGGTGGTGGTTTCATGGGTGTGCTCACCTTGTAATAATTCATCAAGCTATATAATAATACATGTACTTTTCTATAAGTACATTGTACCTCCAAACTTTTTAAATTAAAAATAAGAGAAAATAAGTTGATCTCTTTAAAAATAGAGCATATCCATATCTTAGCATATGTGGCCAATAAATTCAAACTCCAAAATAAATTCAGCACATCTATGTAAGAAACTGTAAACACAGTAACATCTGGAGAAAAATTACAACTGGAGAAAAATTATCTGCTTTTATTAGGAAACTCTCAATTTTAATAAAACAAGTTAAGAAAATTCTGCTACTATCCCTTGCCTTACAAAAACAACGTTTTTGTGGTAAATGAATGAATACACAATTGCTCCTGAAGTGGATAAGTTTGCAACAGTTTAGTGACAATTTCTAATGATATTTTTCTCCTAAAAAAAGAAAAAAAACAACCTGATGATGCAAAGAAATGGACAATGTATGTACTTCATTTTTTATTTTAATTCCATCAAGAATAGTGATTTGATAAAAAGAAATCACTTAATAATGAGTGTCGGGCTTCCCTGGTGGCGCAGTGGTTGAGAGTCCGCCTGCCGATGCAGGGGACACGGGTTCGTGCCCTGGTCCGGGAAGATCCCACATGCCGCGGAGCGGCTGGGCCCGTGAGCCGTGGCCGCTGAGCCTGCGCGTCCGGAGCCTGTGCTCCGCAACGGGAGTGGCCACAACAGTGAGAGGCCCGCGTACCGCAAAAAATAAATAAATAAATAATGAGTGTCAACAATCTGAGTTTGAGATAATAAAACTCGAGAATTAGGGGTTTTTTTCAATCAGCACCACGTCAAACAAAAAACAGAGCAAGGAGCTCTCTGCAGCAATGCTGATTACACAATTCTGTGAGATGACCTGAAAACACTCAATGGGGAGCGCTACAGAGTCACTACCAAAAAATTCTGTATATCTCAAATATCATTTAATAAAAACCACAATATCACTGAATCAATAAAATTTTAAATCTCTTTCAAATATTCATAACTCTAAAAATTAATTCTATCTCTAATATACTACCACTATAAATATTTCAAACTTAAATACCTAAAATTCATGAATATTTTATAAGAGGTGCAAGAACATATTTTTAGACAAAATGCATATACTACCCAAAAAGTTAAAATCTAGTAAACTTCACCGTGATTACGACCAGCTCAATCACTCTACCACCTGTGTATGAAATAAAACTTTCTATAAATAAAGAGTTCTCACCACTTCTTGTTTTTGGGTCTCATTAAGTTTTTCAGTCAGTTCTTCCAAAGCCCTTTTTGTTTCAGCATCGGACCTAGGCACATAACAAAAAAAGAGTATTTTTTTTAAGTTGGCTATTTGAGAAAATATACATAATTCGTGAAATTTACAACATCATAATATGTTATTACATAATACTCTGCTGCAGTGGTTCTTAGACGTTAGCAAACCTATGAAACACCTGGAGGACTTGTTACAAACACAGTATCTATCAGTAGATATGCAATGGAGCCCAAGAACGTACATCCCTACAAATTCCTAGGTGATGCTGATACTGACAATCTGGGGACTACACTTTGAGAAACAATGCTATACTAGATCACCTTGAATAAACAAACACACTGAAGTATCTCCCATTTTAAATTAAGAAGAATGAAAGAGGTAAGGAGGACAAAACTCTTGATCTCACATCCTCTCCAGGAATTCGTAATCAAATTACATCTGAGTGTGCTATACAAACTCTGTCCTCACTCATTTATCTCCCATTACCTTTTTCCCATCAAATTAATAACACACATGATAAATAATCAAATCGTACAGGAAAACGTATAAAGAAAAGCAAAGCCCTTTCTCTCTCACACTTATCTGGTTCCAACCCCCGCTGGCAACCATGCTCAACTAATACGTTCTCAATTCTTTTGCGGGCTACCTCCATCATTTTCAACTCGAGATATTTTCAACTCTGTTTTGAAATATTTAACTCACATTCCTCTTCAATTTCAGATAAATTTATTACTATTTTCAGTTCTTCTATTGGTTACCTGTGTAACTTAATACATTTATACCCATTATGAATTACTCCATCATAGAGAATTAATGCTTTTTGCTTACATTCTATCATGCTCACATTTTTGTCAGCTTCCTAGTTGGATCACTAACTTTCCTGTGCTTTCTTTTTTTTCTAGAGTTTTCCGTTACCTTTTGGCCTTACACGGGCCTTATTATCACATCATTGATGTTTTTCTCCCACTTATTACTCAATCATCTACTAAGAATCTACTCCATTCTTCTCGACTACATTCTTCTCAAAGGACACTTACTTCCTGCTCGAATTCAGTGATTACTTTCTGGGCCTGCTATATGGCTATCATGCTGGAAATTACTTTCACTGAAGTCTCAGGTTAGTTTTTCTATCTCTTATAACCTATATCTTCCTTTTTCTTGGTTGCCATTTTATTTGACTCATATGCCCTTAGTAATTTCCTCAGAAAGAAGTTACCTTAAACGGTCGACTTTCTAAGTCTTTAGATCTCTTAGAAAGTCTTTACTTGTACTTCTTTCTTGGCTTTTGTGATTCCATGTGCTGCTGGATTTCCCATACCTCACTAGCTCTTTCTTCTCAAGCCAGCTCCCCTTTTTATATGACTTCTAAATATTGGAACTCCTGGGCATTCAGCTCTGTTCTTGATGTTCTCCCTACAGTTTCTCTCTAGATATCATCCATTTCCATAGCTCCAAATGCCACTTCTATATGCTTACCACACTTAAATTTATCTCTCTAATGGAGACTTCTCTTTTGAGTTCCAGAGTAAATATCTGGCTGCATATTTTACATTCCCACTTGGATGTCTCACTGGCATCTGAAACCTAACATATCCAAGGCCAAACTCTTAATTTCTATGCCTCACCTACCCCCACCAGTCTTCCATATTTCAGGAAGTGGATTTACCATCTATTCAGTTACTCAAGTCAGAAATCTGAGAGTCATCCTTGGTTTACTCTCTCTTACCCCTCATAACCAATCCATTGCCAAATCCTAGCTCTCTGTTCTCAGATAAAAACTTGAAACATCCCTGTTCATCTCTCCCTTACCATAAACCTGGTCAAGCCATCATCTCTCATGCTAATGCAACAGTCTTCTAGTTTGCCCTCCTCTAATCAGTTTTTCATATGGCATCCAAAATAGGTGAGTTCTCAGTTAACTTTATATAATCCTTTCTAAAAGTTTGCTTTCAGTAAGTACACTTATTATTATAAATAACAAGTGTACTCTTATTATTTATGTACCTTTTGCAATAAATGTCATGAAAAAAATTAAAAATTAGTAAGTAAATGAGAATATCAACCTTTCTGAATCATGTAGGAAGTTAAACCTAACAACTTCCTACCCAGAATTTTTATAAACATGAATTAAGAATTGTGGTCTAAGTAAAGCAGAGCTGGATCCTAAATCTTCCTCATCCACAAAGTTAAGCCACCAAGATTCAGAAGAAAACTGACTCTTATTTTGGCTCTAATAAAATTTTTCTGCCTTACATATGCCCCTAGGTCACACAAACTATTACCAGATGGTACCAGCCCATGGATCAGAAGATTCCCAGTCCACCACTGCATGTCCAAATGACCATTTAAACTAGTCAACTAAACCATCCCTGCAACTTCCCCTGTATCTTCCTACAGGACAACTACTTCCTGAAACTCATGTTCCTAATGCTTAATTTATACCCTTCCTTCAAATGTGGAAAAGCTACATAATAAAGCCATTCCAAGAACATACTGTATTAGAATATTAATGCCATTCTGTTGAGTTTATCAACTTGTCAGAAATAAATACCTAAGTATTAAATTAACTAACCCTTGCCATTTAAAAGATTAATAACACAGCTCAATAATATAGTTTAAAATTCAGGAATTTAAATGCCTTATTCATATCAGCTATATGTGAAAATGATCTTGAACCACAGTGTACTATAAGTGGTAAAGAGCAGACACTCTGGGGCCTTACTGCCTAGATTTGAATTCTGACTCCACCACATCCCTCCTTTGATCTCCAACAAGCTGAGTTACTTCATCTCTCCGTGCCCTGTTTCCACAACAAAAAAAAAATGGGGAAAATAATAATTACCACTTCATTAGAACTGTTGTGAGAATTAAACCTAATTCTACCTGACATGAAATAAGTGTTCAATAATATTTACTGGTGGTAGTAGTAATAATGGTAACAGCAAGGTCTTTTATTCTTATTACTAAATTTCCTGCCTTCCTCATACAGAAGCAGATAAGTTATGCAGACTATAGTTGATATTCAGATTTAACATTTACAGCTTTGACTCTTTTTGCTATAGCAACACAAAACTGTCATGTGGAATGATTTCATTAGCTCGAGTACGAGTTAGCAAGTGAACCTAGCAAGTGAACGAATTTCAATTCACCTTTTTTGTTCTCTAATCATTGCTGTATATAGATTATGACTTTTGAGATGGTATAAATGTTTATTCCTTGAAAAATATGGTCTCTAAATGAAAGTCACCTGTCACCACTGATGATGAAAATGAAGACAGTGAAGAAATCTTAAATAAAGTGATACCTCTTAGGGAATACCCAGAATTGACAAAATTGCAAAAACTGGGCAGACATAAACAACTAGCTTTTGAAGATTTCAACTGAAAGATAAAATGTCAGATTCTACAATGGCTCATGTCCACTGACAAATTCCACATTATGCTTCTATTTGCTCCAGTGTCGATCAATGGGTCTCTCTCTCCAATGTATTTGCAAATCTACCTCTTTACTAAGGTCTTGCAACATATCTCTCCATAATGTCAGCATGAAATAAAATGTTCTTAAAAATATGAAATTAATTTGTCTAACACTGAGTCATGATACATTGTAAATTCAAAGGGTTTTGAACTGTTCTATGAATATACTTTAAAATACTAGTATAAAAACATAGCACTTTTTTTTGGAAATTCATATAAACATGTCAATTACAGAACCTATTTTATTCTTCTAATAATTCACCCCTCAACAAAAATCATATTCAGCTTTTACCGGCTTCTTCTGGCAAGTTCCCGGTTGAAATCATCTCCAAGGCGAACTTGTTCACTGCTGAGGTCTCGGAGGGACTGATGAAAAGCATGAAACTAATAAAAGCAAAACAAAGTTATCCATTTAGGATTCTGTTGAATTCTTCCATAAAGATTCACTGACGGTAAGAATAAGAACTTGCTCTTTGCAATAATACCCATATTTTATAATGTTATCAAGACCTAATAAAATTTTTTCTCTCAAAGAGAAGTTTTTAAAACTATATGTAACATTGACCATTACATCCTCTATAGTGCACTATTTCACTCTTTATAGATACTCTTGAAAAGAGGTCTGGAAACTTTTTCTGTAAACAGTACAACAGCATATATTTCAGGCTTTCAGGTTCTATGGCCTGTGTCATAATTACTCAACTCTGCCATTATAGCACAAAAGTAGCCATAATCAAATGAGCATGGCTGTGTTACGGAACTTTATTCAACTAGACCACATGCCTCAGCATGCCAACCCATGCTGCCAAGAAACCCTTGCCCACATGCATGAGGAACCATGAACAAGAATGTATGGAGCAGGGCTTCCCTGGTGGAGCAGTGGTTGAGAGTCCGCCTGCCGATGCAGGGGACACGGGTTCATGCCCCGGTCCGGGAAGATCCCACATGCCACAGAGCAGCTGGGCCCATGAGCCATGGCCGCTGAGCCTGCACGTCCGGAGCCTGTGCTCCGCAACGGGAGAGGCCACAACAGTGAGAGGCCCGCGTGCCACAAAAAAAAAAAAAAAAAAAAGAATGTATGGAGCAGCACTGTTCATGATGAGAAGACTAAAAACAAACCAAAGTCCAATAAGAATGAAATGGAGATAAACTGCAATATATTCCTCCAGCAGAGTATCACACAGCAGTGAAAATGAAATGATCAAACCTACCTACACTCCAAAAACAAAACATTAAATGGAAAAGGAAAGTTACAAAAAAAGTTACACTGCATTATTCCATCTATATAAAGTTTAACACAGGCAATACTAAGCAAGATATAAGCAGTAAAAATATTTTTAAAAATCAAGAGAATGATTAACATAGAAGTCAAAATAGTTGATAGCCCTTGGGGAAAGGAGGAGTGTAAAAGAGGTTTGGGGTGTATTATAAACGTCTATTTCTTGGTCTGGGTGGTAGTTGCATGGATTTTTCATATTGCTGTACTTTTAATGGTAAATATGTATGCTATACATGTATGTGTAGGCTATAATTTATAATAAAAAACTAAGTTATACAGACTTGCAGAAATAAAAAATTGATTCATTTCAACAAATTCACATTGTGCAACTAACCAGTGCCAGCAACTGTGCTGGGAAACAAGTGTCATGGGAGACAGATATGTAAACAAAACCACAAATGCTGCACTGGGGCATTAAGAAAGTACACAGTCATATGGAGCTAAAGGTCATCATAAGAAATGGACTAAAACAAGGAAGAACAATTAAAAAGAAAGGAGTGGAGGTAATACAGCAGATGAACAACAGACCATTCACTTAGGTTCTGCTGTGATGATTTTCCAGTTTTGCAAAGCAGAATCCTAGGACTCATCTTTGACACCGCCTTTTCACTCATTCCCACCCTCCCCAAATGGTCATCTGATCTTCAAGACCTTTCATTTTATCCACCAAATAGTTTTTAAATCTACCACTTTCTCTCCAACTCCATTTATCCTAATCCAAGTGGCCATCAGCTCACACCCAGAACACAGCAATATCCTTCTAATTGGTTTACCCACACTGACTCCATTTTCTACACTAGAGCCAGAGTGATCTTTTCGAAGTAATTGTCACCCTCTTACGTGGCTGTGTATGGTCTCAGGGTTTCACACTTTTTTAGCCACATGGCCTTCTTTAAATTACTCATAGGTGCTATCTTCCTTCCTGCCAAGGTATTTGTTCTACCTCAAATGACTCTTACTCAACTTTCGGATATCAGCTCAATCATCCTTTCTTTGGGAAGCCTTCCCTAACTGCGGCAGGTCCCTCTATAAACACTCCTATAGCCCTATGCTTCCTTCCATTAGAGCATGCATCTCGGCTCATAATTATGGGTGTATTTACATACTTTTTGATTAGTATCTAGCTCCCCCTCTAAATTGTAAGCTCTGTGAAAAGGCAAGGTTTTTGCTCATCACTGTTTCCAAGCCCAAGCACTGTCCCAGGACAAAGGCACTAAATAAATAAAATGAAAGAGTAAGTAATATTAGGATATTGTTCTCTGCTCTAGGTTTTATCACATAATCCACACTAGCAAGTTGCACCTACCAAAAAATAACACTGTCAAGGAAAAGTTTCTACAAGGCGTCTTCTAAGGCACTTGGTTCTGTTATCTCTGTATCTTATGTTATAATAAGGGAAAGCTATAGATGAGTATCCTAACAAACTCTGAGTCCTCAATCTTAAAACTACCAAAACAAAGATGTCTAAGTCAGCAACATCTCCTAGTCCTTATTTAATTAATTTAGCTACCCAACACAATAACAAAAAAAAATTTTTTTCAGCTCTTGCATAGAAGTTTAAAGAAGCAGAAAAAGAAATATAGCTATAGAACTAATACCTTCAAAATCTTTAGTGAATGCATAGAAAAAGCCTAGAATTCCTGCTTAATACAAAATGGCTCCATCAATGATTCAGCAATCAGAAAAACACTAATGGAAAAATCAATAGGTTAACCACACAAAGACTAACTTATTCATACTAAACTAAACTTAGAAAAATAGAAACTAGCTGACTTAGCAGAGCTTGGAAAAGAGCAAGCCATCTGAGCAAGGAAACAAAACATGTCCAGCTAAACTCACTTTTAAATGTTCTACAAAATATAATCCTCCATAACAAAATTCAAAATAAATGTATGATGATGATCAACACATTGAAAATAAAATACTTTACTTGGTTTAAAAAAAAACCATTACAAAGTTAGTGATGATCAAACTCTTAGTTAAAATACAGCCATAAAATTCAAGTGTTAGTGATTTAAATAGAAATGCAAGGAACCAGACTACAGAATGGGTACAAAATACCTGGCCCACGTCATCAGTCTCCCGAACAAATCGGACACCAGTTCTGGACCTATTTCGTTTAATACGCTGTTGATCCCCATAGTCCTTCAGAGGTGAGGTAGGTGGAAAACGGTGGCTCTCTTTACAGAAGAAAGAAAAGGGAAAGGATTAAAAACACCACATGAGAAGAAACGATCTAAAATTTTACTCAGGAAATACACAGCAGACATGGATATATACATGTGCCCTCAACCTGGATTATTTCCCACAGACAATCACAAACAAATATCTTGCTGTGGCCATAAAATTCCACAAAATTGGCACCTATCTTGCTCTTAAAGCAGATAAAATGAACAATTGAAATAACCTGGAACTAGAACACATCAAAAATTCTAATTGGCTGTACTTTTCAAAGAAGCAATATAGTATTTTCTCTTACATAAAAATAGTAAGTTGCTAAAAAAAAAATAACTTTTATGACTCCCTAAAATAATACTAATAAAACAGAATTTTTCAAATAACAAATTATCTAAAATCTGAATGGTGTTTAAAAATAAGTATAGGGCTTCCCTGGTGGCACAGTGGTTCAGAGTCCGCCTGCCGATGCAGGGGACACGGGTTCGCGCCCCGGTCCGGGAGGATCCCACATGCCGCTGAGCGGCTGGGCCCGTGAGCCATGGCCGCTGAGCCTGTGCATACGGAGTCTGTGCTCCGCAACGGGGGAGGCCACAACAGTGAGAGGCCCGCGTACCGCAAAAAAATTAAATAAATAAATAAAAAATCAGTATAAACTAAACTACATAAAGAAATATAGCTGATTGTGATTTTTAATCATTATTATCATGACCAATAATGATATTAACAACACAAGCTACTAATGTTCACTCTGTCTAAATCGCCTCTCTTCACTGCAGACTTTTCTAAGTCTCTTCTATTCAAACATGAACCTCAGTGCTGTAGGGAAGTATAATTATATGCAAACTAAGTGTTATCACCTTTTATGTAGCCATTGAAATCGAGCTGCACACCAAGGATAAAATTCCCCTTTATTAACAAGTGTCACAGGATATTTCATAATGAGACTTTTGAAAAACTATGAACCTAGGACAAGACTTCTAATCCAGAAAGTACACCACACAGTAAATCCTATTTGTGTGTGTGTTTTCACTGGAGGCAGACAATTAAATAAGGTTCTGTCAGGTGAAGCTCTACATGGTCTACAGAGCCTGAGAAGAAAAAAGTAACAGACTCAGAATATCAAAGTCCCATTGAACATACTTCAAAGTATTCACTCTAAAACCCTGACTGCATCTTCTAACACCTTATTTGTATGATTTTATGTATGGATTATATTTGTCTAAATACTACATGTATCCAATATGTACTTCAGGAATATTTTTAAAACAAAGAAAAGGTTTTCAGAACATCTGAAGAGTTTACCTGTCACAGTGCCACCATCGAGGTCACTTGTACTCAGACTTGTAACAGAAATACTTCTCCCTCCTGAGTTTCTCAATAACCGTTGACTCCGCAGTTGGCCTATTGATTGCTCCAAGCTTTCTTTTAACTAAATTAAAGGATACAATGAAGTTTAAAAAACTTCCAGATACAAATAAGCCTAGAGATTTTAAAGCTATTCATGAACTATCTGGGTTCCCAAAGAGAATTTATATCAGAGAAAATTTTGAACTAAGTTATATTAATAGAAATATAAAAATAGTAAACATAAATATTTTAAGACCCAATTCTAACATCTGGTTTTAAATAGCATCTGTCACTACCTATTCCATCTTTCTATTACCATCAGATTGATGTGCCCATGCTTAGAAACATAACAAGGCCAACACATCTGAAAAAGAGAAAGCCTTCCTCCCTTCTAAACATTCCTTAAGAAACCTCAGATCTATAATAAACAGGAAAATGAACAGCTGTCACAGTGACTTCTGCTTTGAAAAAAAAGTGCACTGCCCAATTCTGTAGCAGAGTACCTTTCATTCATTCAAAGATTTCAAATCCCGGAAAACCATGTGGTCAGATGTTGGACTGTTAGTACAAACTAGGATCACAGTTGTCCAAATGCTCCAGGTTATTAGGAAGTTAGCCAGCAGGGAATATAAGACAACATCTTTTAAGACCTAAAGGGCTACAATAAATAAAATCACGCTTAATACTGAGAATATAATCCAGAGCTGTACAGAACTATTGACCTGAAAAGAGGATTCAACAAAAAGCCAAAGGAACAAAGAGTAAAACTTAGGAAAATCCACATACCCTGAATTGCTGAGAAACTTCTGGTCTAGACATTTTAGCCAAGGATGAATAAAAAATAATATTAATAAAAATAATGTATGGATCCAGAAAACAAGTTATCTATAACTCTTTAAAGAGAATGTCAAAACAAAACAATTGATTGAAAAGAGAGGGCTTCCTAAATTCAGCCAGAATTAAAAGGTAGAACACCACTGATGGAGGAAATAAGTTGGTTTCCTTGGGGAACTGTGCAGAAAGAAAGTAGCTTCAACTGAAGGAAGAGCACAGCTGAAACAATATGAGTCACAAATGAGCAAATCCTTTTTCACTTTGGTTGTTTGGACTTAGCTGTTCTGGAGAACCAAGGTTAAAATAGGCTGGATTAAAAGAAGTAGAGTTAGAATTTCAACAATTTATCTCTATTACCACTCTCATTTCTGGAAAAAAAACAAAAAAAGAAAGAAAGAAAAAGCTAATATTTCCATACCCTCTGTTCCCTGCTTCTCTAAACTGGCATTTGTGCAATACCATCCTGACTGAGTGTTCACCAGCTGTAGGACCTAGACTATCAATCCAGGAAACATACAGATGAGGCCTGGGAGAACTAAGGTCTACCTGGAGAGTAATTTATACACAAGTAAAATAAAAAACTATGTTTAACATGTAAGTAGTCAAGAGGTCTTACACAGTGAACACAAAATAGCATATCAGTAATCTATGACAAAGAGTCAGAATAAAATTGTACAGTGTTAAAATTAAAAAGCTCAAATCCAAACTGTAACATTAAAAAAGGACTAGAAAGGTAAAATGACTTTAGATCACATAAGTTAGTGACAGAACCAGCTCTACTAACTTTTCCTGTGTTTATTATTTGCATCTTTCAAGCTAAGCCTGATGTCAGTATCCTTTTTCATAGTTTTTTTTTTTTTTTAATTGAAGTAAAGTTGATTATCCTTTTGGAAGTAAAGTCAGCTGACATTTCTAATTATTGCTTCTTTTTGAACGTAATTTGCCCCTTACAGCTCTGGCTCTTTTTAAGATTTTCTCTTTGACTTTGAGTGTCAATGGTTTTACAATGATATGACTATGTACAGCTTTACTTGTAGTTATCCCATTTCTGACCCATAGAGACCATGGAATCTGTAGCTTAATCTCTTTCATGTGTTGTAAATTTTCAGCCACATCTCTTCATTCTTTCTGCCTCATTCTTTCTTTCCTCTCCTGGAAATCCAGTTGGATTTAAGTTTTATCTTTTCTACCAAATCCCATGGGTCATTTATGCTCTTTTCTGTATTGTTCATCCATTCCTCCATTCTTCTTTTTGGATATATTATGCTGATCTATCTCTCAATCTATTAATTCTCTCTTTAACTGTATACAAGCTGTTACTTAATCCATCTGTTGATGGTTTTTTCTAATTTATTTGTTTGTTTATCTTAGTTATATTTTTCAGTTTCTGTAATTTTCATTTTTTGTCTTTTTTGTTTGGTTCTTTTTAGAGTTTTCAATTGTCAAAATTCTCAATCTTTTAATTTCTTTTTTTTTTTTTTTTTGCTGTACGCGGGCCTCTCACTGTTGTGGCCTCTCCCATTGCGGAGCACAGGCTCCAGACGTGCAGGCTCAGCGGCCATGGCTCATGGGCCCAGCCACTCCACGGCATGTGGGATCTTCCCGGACCGGGGCATGAACCCATATCCCCTGCATCGGCAGGCAGACTCTCAACCACTGCGCCACCAGGGAAGCCCTCAATCTTTTAATCTCTTGAACAGGTTAATCGTAGTTATTTTATAATCTCCTACTTGTTTCTCTTGTCTGTTTTTTCCCTTGGTTTTCAGTCAACTCTTGTATTTTCTTATGCCTGAGTATTTTTTTATCATGTGATAGACATTGTATATGAAAACTGTAGAGCTATTTAAAGCTCTGGATGATGACATCTTCCTTCAGAAGGGATTTGGGTTTGCTTCTATCAGGAAGTCAGGCTAGGGTCACTAGGAAACCCAATGTACCTTAATTCATTAGAACTGAGATGATTCAAAGCTGGGCTTCTGTCCCCATCAGCACTGGTCAATTTTCAATTTATCACTGCTCTGATTTTCAATTCACCATTTTTCCTAGGCTATCACTCTTTGGGGTCTCAATCAAAAGCTGGAGGGTTCCTGAACTCCAATTTTGGTCTCTCTAGCCTCTTTGAGTCTACAGATAGTTCTAATCTTATCTGCTTCTAAGCCACCTCTTTTGAAATCAGCTACTGCCTTGACAGAGAAAGACTCCCAAATGTAGGACTCTTCCTTCTGGATTTCTATTTTTGCCAGATCTTGACTATAACATTCCTCACTGCCTTGGTACTTCTCTGATGGTTTCATAATATTATTTTTTTACAATTTTTTTGCCTTTCCAGTTGATCTGAATGGGAGAGTTGATCCAAAATAATCTTATCTACCAATGCCAGAAGCAGAACTTGCCAGCATCCTTTTCATGTGGGCTTATTTGCTAACAAATCCTGAGCTGTAACTAAAAACTGATTAAGAAGATGAATTTTCACACACACATGCACACACACAATATCACTACTAACAACAACAAAAAACTCACCATGGAACATATGGGAAAATATTGCAGAACAACAGAAATGATACATTACCCCCCAAATCTAGGAGGAATAACAGATGTTAGAAAATTGATCATTTCAGAAATAAGATAAAAAGTTAGACAAACTATTTGGCAACCTCATTTTAAAACTCTCAAAAGATGTATCATAAGCCATTGAACAGATGAACAGGCTAATACATAAAGACCAAAAAAATGAGCTGTAAAAGGCAAATGAGTGAGATGACGATTTCTTTTAATCACTCCTACAAACGTCATGGCAAAAACAGATCCTCCACCTAAGATACAAAACTAAACATGTAATAAAATTAGAACCTACACTTAAAGTAGCAATAATACAACAGACACGGCACAAAATCTATTCATGATGTACAAAACCAATTTGATAACTCCTAAAATACAAAAACCAAAAGATAAAATTTGTTTAAAACTCTTTAGGATTATAACTTCTAATTAGGTGCAAAAGCAAACGAAACTCGAAATTACATAAAAACAAAACAACACTAATAAAATTCAATTTAATATTAATTTATAATACTATGATGGATAATGCTATTTTGCTGAAACTAAATCAGTGTTCCACACAGACTGTGGTACTGACTGCAATGGTGCAGATTCTAAAAGTTTATCATGAATACCTCACCACATACCAAGTGTTGATTCCATTTCCCCCACTTTCCCCTATATAAACTACCGCAAAACCAGCATCATGGAACATGTTATGACATATTTTCACCTCAACTTGATATAAATGTACCATTTACATATTAGGTCTATTCTTTTATCTCTGTTCATTTGACATTAGACTAAAACAAATGAAGCATTACAATAATGTACCAGTAAGAATAAAAATAAAACTTGGGCACTGAAATTGAATGGCAATGCTTGTTTGCAAGGTAGTTTATCCAAATTGTTAAGACATGCTTTTAAACACAGAAGTCAAGTGGGAAATCTCTCTATAGCCAAAGATGAAATAATTTGGGCATCGATAAAAATATTAACTACAATGGAATAAAGCAGTTCAAACATGAATAAATTTGTGAGTTAATGATACTCAAGGAGAAAAAAATAGTCACTGGTCACCAGCAGAGAATGTTAGGGAAATAACTCATTATTTTTGAAACTAGTAAATAAATTAAAAAAATTTTAAACCGTATAAGCTTTTAGATTAACATTAGCGTACCAAATTTTAAAATCCTCATAGAGATCTCTGAAAGCCCTGTGACATCTCTATTTGAAAGTCTGATTTGAGACAAAATATAAGTCAAGCTTAGAGAATCGAAAAATACATACAACTCTGAAAAGCTGACTATACTGCACACCAAATCTATGAAAAGAGATCATCTAGGCAGCAATGGGTCCTCCATATAAGAAGTGTGATCATTAAAAACATCATGACTCACAAGGGCCAGAGGAAAGCCTAGCAGTACTTTCCTCAGTTCTACTCCTTTTGTTTCTGTTCCTGTTGACATATTTCACACCCTAATATTTTATTTTGAGGATGAAATAAGATAATGTATGTAAAATAATTAGAGCAATGCCTAGGGAAGATTAGTTTGTTGAGTAAATGGTAGTTTTTACTGTGATGACTACACACAATGAATATAAGAGCAAAAGTAAGTGAAGAAATGGGATGTTTTAATCTGGAGAAGCTCTCTAGAAGAATGGCATTCCCTAAAAATGAGTTCACTGAATTCTTCTAGTCGTACA